TATATATATATATATATATATATAATATAATTTTTTAATATGTATGAATTATTAAAGATTTGATAAATCTATATGTTACAAACATCCCCTCTTAGGCATCTATTATATTTGATGAGATTTGTCACACCATCTCAATAAGATAAGAACAAACTATAAGATCCCATATTGATTGGGGAGGGGAATAAAATTTGTCTTACAAGGGATTGAATACCTTATTTATTGGACGTGTTTTAAAACCGTGAGTCCAAGTGTGGATATATCGGACAATATCTGATAGTGGTTGACCTGTAATATTTACAGATGGTACCAGAGTCGGAAACTGGACTGGTGTGCCAACGAGGACATTAGGCTCCCAAGGAGGATATATTTGTGAGATCGAGGGACAAAACAAGTACAATTTTAGTAACGTCCTAATCCTAAAACATCAAGGAATTTTTTTTGTGTGGCCCTATTCTTACAAACATCGAAATTTGATTGAAAAGACAGGGTAATAAGTGTGACTTTTCTCAATCATCAGACTAATAGTCTATAAATTAACGTCTACCCAATTTCTACGAAATTTTCTTGTTTTCTTATAAGTTCTTTTAATATAATATTTAAGACATAAGACGAACGATCGAGTGAGAATAAGAGTTAAGATGAGAAGCTTAAAAAGGGATCTGAACCCCTGATCATTTTTAATCTCACCTCTACCCATGAATTATGCTCATGACATGAATTGATCAAGTGCATCTCGGTGCACAACATCAGTATTGATCTTCAGTTATGATTGATTCAATAATAAAGATTTTTTCTTACCTTTCTTACCATAACTTTTATTATCACCTGAAAACAAGTCTTTTGAGACATAAATACCTTATCACAAGTTTGGGTAGTTGTACGAAATTTTCTTGTTTTCTTGTGTAAGTGTAAGTAAGTTAGGGATAGTTGTCTTCATTGAGATCGGTGGGTGAACTACACACATCACCTATTAAATACACTTATTTTACATTTGACTTAATAATAATTAAAAAGCATTTAATTATTTATCAAACATTTTAAATACGTTTGTTCCTATTATAAATAGTGAATAAGCGGACGTAAGTAGCTATTTTTGTAGCTTTGTATTGACTTTTTCTAATAATTTTTAATTTTTTTTACGTTTAATTTATAAATATTATCAGTTGATGATATTTTATCTGATATACACAATGTTTTTATTGTTTAAAGATAAAAATATAGGATGATGATATCATCAACATTATATTTCTATTGGAATACAAGATATTTTTTTTCATCGAAATCAATCGATTTGAATTAAAGAGAGAATATCTTTACTGACGTTTTAAAACTGCTTTTGTAAAATCCGGAAACATGTCGTTTTGGTTGACTTTTTTCTATATGTCCCGATTAACTTGTATTTGTTTTAGTAAATTTTTTAACTTTATTTTATCAGAAATATGATTTACATGTTTGATCATTAATTGATATTTTTTATTTACTTATGTATTAAGTTAAATATATTTTAAATAGGGGTGAAATCAAATGCAGTTTAACGGAATATAAGACCATGAACTGGCCACCCGTGCATGCTTCTGTTAGTTTATTTTTTTCTTGTACACTTTTTATGTTTTATCTGTGTTAATAATCCTAAATACTGGTTACAAAAAACTTATGTCACTTGTCAATTATTAATACTTTTATTTATTTTTGAATTTTATAAATTAATCACATGTAAATAAAGAAGAGTGTTATCGTTTAAAATAATACAACTAGTTAAGAT